CGGCTGATAAAACCTCGGCCCGGGTTACAGGTTGTAGCTTCAGTACCAAGGAGTTTGCAAAGTTTTTGATGCTGTGGCGTGGCTGGGGGCTGCTGAACAGAAATGACCCAAGAGGCAGAACCTTTCTGTTGATAGGAAGGAGCACAGAATGTTTCACACGTGCAGAGCACAGAGAGGAGAGCTCAGCATCCTCAGCTCGTTCCCCCGGAGGCGGAACCTCCAGGTGCTCTGTCACCACTGCGGTGCTGAGCCGCTCTGCCAGGGACGCCACTGTTAAAAAGTCAAAATTTTCCCCCCAGGCTGTTCCTTGGAGGGGTTGCCGTGAGCTGTGGACACTGCCCTGCTCAGAGGGGCCTCCCACCTCCTTAACATTCCTGGCGGTGCCGAGGGCAGTGGGATGGCACGAAATGTATGTGCATAGTGTAACTATTTACGTTAACCAGACAGGCATTTTCCATCCTTTCACCTCTCCTGACCCAGCTGTGAATTTTCCTGCAGCAACAGGTACTAGTGGAAAACCTGTCCCTCTGGCTGACCTGCAGATGTTCTCTCTCTCTCTGGCCAGTCAGCTGCATCCAAAAGTGAGCAAACTGTTCTGTGCTGATTCACAAAGTTGCCTCAGAGAAAATACCAAATTTACCCTGAATTTTGGGTCTTCCTTAGTCTTTTTCGTGCTTGTGTGTAACATAGGGCAGGAGACTGGAGGGACATGTCTAAAAGTATTCTGACTCATGAAAGAATTTAGTTGTCACAGTGGTTTTTTATGCAGTGTTATGCATTAATGTAATGGAGCTGCAGAGAAAGCCAGGGGCGGTTTGTCCCACATCACTGCTACTCAGGGGGCCTGGCAGTGAGGGATTTTTCTGGCCTGACCTGTTGCTGAACAAGGCAATCCTCTACTGGGGGCTTGGGCTGCTGAGAGGAATGGTGTTCCCTGGGAATAAGGAACCCCAGCCGTGGCTGGAACAGCATTTTCCCAACTGCTGCCTTGGAGAAGCAGCAAAACCCAGCAGGTGTTTGGGATGTGCAGACCTAGGCTTGGCTGTGTCACTTACCCACACAGGAGCTACATCAGGAAGGTAATTCAGTGTTCTCACCATGGTATAAAAATAACCTTAATGGGTTTTTGTGATTGCTTCTTTGGGAGGAGACTTTTAGAAAATGCTAAAAGATATATTTAATGAAAAAGAAGCAGATCAAAGACAAATAGTTTTCCCTCTTTTGTTGATCAGCTTTTTGTTTGTTTGTTTGAAAGAACCAGTTTAATTAGAGTTTGGAGGTTTATTGTGAGTGGAAATTTTGATTTTAAACTTGCTCATAGGTGTGGAAATAAAAACCTGAGCTTGGATCTGCATGTTCCAGGGGCCTCCCTGCCAGACTGGAGTCCAGGTGAGAAGCTCCTAAAGCATGGGATGCTCTGTTTGGAGGGGGATGAGGAGTAGAGCTGGCTTTACCTGAATCCCGGTCATTGAGGACATTGTTATAGCTATGGAAATGTGTAACAGAGGCTGTCACATTTTTAATGTTCTTTAGGAGTGCAAAGCTCTTTTATCTGGAACTGTTCCTGTCCCGGCTGCAGGAAGCCAGAGGAAGAGCCTCTGCCAGGCTCAGGCACTGCTCAGCTGGGAACTTTGCTGGGCAAGCTCATCTGCCCAGACTGGAGAGGTTTCCCTCTGTCCCAGCATCCTGGTAGGAAACCCTGTGTGTCTGGATTCAGGAGTGTGGCAGTGCAGCTCCTCAAAATAAGACATCAACCAAATTTCTTCTTAACTGTTGTAGGTGCAGTGACCCCACACTGAACCAGGCTGGGCCCTGCAGTTGGTCCTGGCCATGCCACTGTGAGTGCAAAGCCTCAGAAATGTGGAACTGTTTGTCTGGACAGATTCACCTGCAAGCCAATAATTCCACAAGGACTAATGTGTCCATGCTGGGCAGAACCATGGGTTTCATTGCAGAGTGCACATACCGTCTATCCCCTCCCCTCTTTACACCTTCACTTTTAGTTTGGGTTCACACCACATTTTAAAGATTTCCTTGGACATTGTTCAGCTTTTCCTTGTGCCTGTGAGCTCTCCCTGGGATCAAAAATATTTCTGAGCAGGTAAGTGATGGAATAGACATGACTCCTCACAGAGCATGTCTCTGTGTGTGTGTGTGTGTGTGTGTGTATTTACAGATGTGCATATATGTATGTAAATTTGGCAATATATAGAATTCTGACCCACTTAATCTGGTTTTAATCTGGGAGCAGGCAGAGAGGGCACAGAGTGTGGAAGGATATATGGACATGCAGCAGGAGTGTGGAAGGATATATGGACACGCAGCTAACGAGACGGGAAGGGAAGTGGCTGGAGGCTGAAGGGATGTAATGGGTCCCAGTGTGGCAAGCACATATGCTGCCACACAGCAAATGCAAAGTGCCACCACCAGTGACAAGTGGATTGCACCTAAGGAAAACAGCTGTGCCCAGTGCCCAAATCCAGTCAGCCTCCTGACCCTGCATGTCCCTGCTCTGATGTGCATTAAACTGGTCAGGTCTGGAAGCCTCTCTGGGTGCACTTTGCACAGCAATAATGGCTCAGTAAATCTCTGGAATACCTCTTGCACAGCCACCTCTTTTGCATTTACAATCTTGCATTTGTGGGATTGTTTTATTTTGTTTTATCTTAATTTATTCTGCTGCACTTGACATGGCGGGAACACTTTGATTGTCTGTGTAGATCATTGCATGGTTTTAGTGCAGTTCTGTATTACAAACCCTCCCACAGAACCCTGTTATTTGTTCAAAATTTTTCTATTTTGAAGAAACATCCTTTGACACCTGAGCTGGATCTGATTTTCTTAGGCATAGATATAATTGTCCCTGGCAAAGAGCATCTCCCTGACTGGTCCCATCCCCTCTGTATATATTTGAATATATAAAATATTAATAAATTATGCCAAATGTTTAATCATATTCGTTTGACTCTACAAGGCTCAGTAAATGTAGGCTTTCCTGTTAACTGCCTCTGTGATATCTACATACTGCTGATTTGTTGTTGAGCTGGAGTTTTTAAAGCAAAATAAAACTGAGGTTTGCAGTTCGATTTGAATTAATCAGGTCTGATTAGACAGGAACACATCAGGCTGTTCTGGAAATCCCTGAATCTCTCTAATTCAATTTCATGTGTTATTCAAAAAGAAATAGTTCATAGCTTAAGCAAAAGTGCTATTTATTTAACACTGTTTTTTTCAGAGTGCTAAATCTTATGGAGGGGGGCATTGTGATGATGTTCAGGGTGTAGGAAAGAAAGCATTTTGTTTTATGAAAATACAGATATTTTAGAATGGAGTCACCTGCTGGTAGATCTCATAAATGTACATAAAAGCATGCTCCCTAATATTATTAGTTCAGTTTTGTTCTTCCCATCATCTTGACTGTCCATCTAGGAAGCTTTGATAGCTGGAGCCACAAAACCAGAAGACTGTATTTAGTTTAATAAGCCAATTTAAAGAGAAAGGTTGGAATCATGTATGTCAGAGGACAATTATGCAAACTAAATGATTCTTTAATTAATAATGAGATCCATGAAAGGCAAAGGAAACAGGGTGCTCCTGTGAGAAGGAGAAGGCTCCTGATCCCCACCACGGTGTGGAGGGACGGGAGCGGGGCAGGGGCAGCTCCCGGACAGAACCTGGAGGGGCTCTGCTGGTGGCATCTCTTCGGGGGAAGCCTCCAGCGGAAGTTCGGCATTCCTGGCCAGGTTTCCCTTGGGTGCTCTGCTCTCCCAGAGCTCTCTCAGGAAGCGGCGAGTGGGGCTGGGTGAGCAGCTCTCCGGCCCCACACTGAGGGGGGCGCCGGGAGGTCACAGTCCCAACCCGCTCCTGCCTTCCCTGCCGCCCCTCCGGAGCCACCCGTCCGGCCTCCCCACCGAGCTCGGCTCCTTCATTCCATTCCTTCATTCAGGGACGGTGGAGAGCCAACAGCTCGCAGCCTGAGGAGCCGGGCGGAGAGCAGGAACGCCGGGAGAAGGGCAGGGAGCGATTATCGGCAGTGATTGTTCGGGAGGGCAATAGTGGGAGGTGCTGGAAGTGACAAGGATTCACCGTGGGACGCAAATCACTTAAGGCAAAGCCATTTAAAATACCAAAGAGGGAGGCTAAAGTGACAATAACATATTTTAATTGAAATCACAAATATCATTCTGGTTTAAAAGACCAGGCAGAGTTACTTTATCTGAACACAGAAAAAACTTTTTCCTTTTTTAATAAACAAAACAAAGGTCAAATTGGAACTATGTGGGTTTTTTTGGGTTTTTTTTTAAAGTTCTTAAATCCCATATATATATATATTAACGTTCTCTTTTCTTTTGACTTGATGGTCATGTTATAAATGGAATTAACTACATTACTAACGCTTTTAATTTTATTTTAATAGAGCCTAGGGCTGAAGTATAGAATCAGCACATGGCCCATTAAAAGAAAAACACAGTTACAGGGACAATAAATAGCATGTCCAGATAAACACTTTTATCAGTGTGTTAGTTTTCTTTATTGAGCTGAGTAGCCTGTGTGCAGAGACTGGGGTTTTTTGAGACATTTTTCCAAAGCTGAAGCCCACATTATGAGATTGTTACTGGTTTTGGCAGCAGCAATGTGAACTTGGTAAAAGAGCCTGGCATGGGAATCCACTGAGTCCTGACATATCCCATTTGCCCCAAACTCTTTGATTTCTGCTCACAGAATCTGACATGTGTGGGCATTGACCTTGCTCTTTTAAATAAGCTTATTTTAGAAGACCTCTGCAGAACGCTGTGTGTTTGGCCTCGATGTAAGCTGTTAGGGAAATGTAGTACAAACACAGAAGTTGTATGTTTTGAATGCCAGAGATGTTAAGCAGCAGAGCAGTTGGTAAAAGCTGTACTTCTGACTGCTTTCTGTGCTCTCAACATGTGTCCTGAAAGAAAAGAAAAATTATTTATCGTGCTTTCGTGTGAAGGTTGTTATTCATTTATTTTCAGGAGGAAGTTCAGGACCAGACTGCTTTTTCAGTCCTACATATTCCAACTTGGGCTCTCAGACACTCAGTGGAGCAAAAGCAGCTTTTTTGAAAAGTGACTGTTGGGGATGTCCTGGGTCAGTATCTCACTGTCCCGTAGAATCACCCCTAGAAATGTCTCTGCAGAAAGGTGCTCAGGTACAGCAGTGACTTTTCCTTATGGAGCAGCACCCTCACCCTGTGTTTCAGGAAGGGCTGTCACCTTCACTGTGGAGATCTGGTTTCCATTCATTACAGGGGAGCAGCTGAGGTGGAAGTTCAATCCAAGGGCTGCAATTTTGCCAATGCCAGCAAGGAAACAAACTACTGGGCCCCAACATGGCAACACACATGGGAGAGGGATTGGAAGTGCCTTTAAGAAACAAGTACAAAAAAATGTCCCTCATTCAGCCTCTCTCTGCTCAAGCCACTGGAAAGCTACCAACCTCAGAAAGAGCAAAAGCAGAAGAAAACTTGGAAACACCTGGGACGTTCATGTGGTGCTCACACTCCTGCACCCTTGCCTTGGGCTTTGAGCTTTGGAACCTGGAAATTCGATTAGCTGGACAATATGTTCCCAGAAAGGGTTGCTGAGTCTCACCATACCTGAGGAAGTGGCAGTAATATTCTGCAAAAAGGAAAGCAGGTATCCAGTCACCAAAATAAATGTAATTTTCAATTTGTGGCCATGTGCAGTTCTTCAGGACAAAACCTGGCTCAGGTGGAGCAAGAAAAGGCAGCTGAGCTGTGTCAGGACATGGATAACCCTGTTCCACAGCTCTGAGCACTCGGCTCAGTTGGCTTCCCAAGCCCCCAGGATGGACATGGAGACAGTTCTCTGGCATTGGGGTGAAAGGCTGTGAGTATTTCAGAGAGCATTTCCTTGGCAAAAGGACTCCAGAGTGGATTTCCTCTTTTCTCTGCAAAGCCTCCTCTCTGATCCAGCAGTGGCACAGGGAAGCCCTCCCGGACCACAAATAATTCATCTCCAGCATGTGCATGGGGTTTGGAGCCTGACCCAGGCAGTTTTTTAGGGAAATAAGTGAGCATCCAGCCACTGGTGCCAGTGCTGGTGGCTCCTCATGGAGCATGGGCTGGAGCGGTGCCATCAGTCAGCAGGAGGGATGGCAGAGCCGCTGCCCCTCCTGCAAAAGGGGCTGCCTGAAATTCCCTTAACCGTCACTCACAGGCTCATTTTGCCAGGGAAGTGGCTTTTATTTGTTGTGAGTTCTTCATACAGAACAAAACCTAAACAATGTAACATATTCTGGGCTCTGGGCAGATAAAAATTGAAAGGGCCGGTGTGTTTGTGCAAGTGGAATGATAGTGACAAGCACCACATGGGGTCCCCAAGGATGGTGTCGGGGGACTCGATCCCCATAAAATGATGAAAGACTCTGATGTAATGGTGTTCTGTGAAACAATTTGAACATAAATGCTACTTTCTGTCCCATTAGCAAATGACTGCCATTGTACCAGGATTTTTAATTTTTTTGATACGTATTTTGAGCACACTGAGTCTAAAAGCTTGCATTGTGATAGTGCTGCAGAAAGATTTTAAAGGTTGTGATGGACTAAAAATTGAAATGCAAATCACGCTTTCCCACAACCTCCTGCTGAGGCCCAAATTTTTATAGATCAGGTCATGCAATCCTGATGAAGAATCAGCAATCTGCCTTTCCTGGGATTCACAAATTAGTTGCAGTCCAAGATATCCTTTCCTACAAAAGAACTTACCAAGTGAAAGTTTTGTGACTGAAGACAGTCCCCTGATCTTACATTAATTTTTACAGCCGCAGTGCCACTAAGGATCTTTTCCCAGACAATGCAAACACACACATCACAGCTCCCCACTCTGCAACATGCTCTCACTGAATATAAACACGCTGTATATATTGAGCCTCTCCCTCTTGCTTTTTTTCTTCCCCAGCATGCAGGTGGTAAAATACTGACTGCCATGAACTTCATCAGGAAAAAAAAAGTATAAAAGAGGAAAAAGCAGTGGTTTGGAAGCAGCTGGATGGCAAACTGCAGGCTGGGAATGTGTCTGCCAAAACCACCACAAGGAGAGTGGGGCATAAAGGCATTTGTGGAGCATTCTGTTTGCTAATTGCTCATGGAATTTCAGATAAGGAACATCCAATGTGATTTGTTATAAGGAGTGGCCTGGGTTTTGCTTTCTAGGGTGGCTTTTTTCCATCATTATTATTTTTATTTTTATTGCTATCATTACAAATGCCCAGCTCTCTCTGGCTGGGAGCACAGATCACAGAGGGCCTGTGGGGCAGCACAGAGCATTTTTTGCCATGCATGTGCCGGGCAGTACCAGCACATATCTCCAGGCCCTGCTGTATCCCAGGGTAGGATCTGTTCCTGGCTATGAGAGGACAGATCCCTCTCAATGTTTCACCTGTACAAACACAGCAATCTGCTGGGGGTTCCCAAGTGCTGCTTATGGGCTCATTTTGTAACAGTTTTGATCCGGTTCTCTGTGCCCTGAACCACTGAGGATTCCCAGGAAGCGTTCTGGTCACTCCTTTCCCTTCCAGCTATTTAGAGGTTCCTTCTACACAGCAATGCTGGAAATTACCACCAGCAGTGCATCTCTGGTTTGCATCTGTTTGCCATCCTGCAACTTTAGTCCTACAACTTACTGCTAATTAACTCCCAGCTAACGGTGATCCCTGCCAGTGCTGCAGCGTTCTGGAGTCCATGGGCATTAATGAGAATTAGCATTTGTTGAGGGCCATGGTGGGAGCTGCCTGTCTGCAGCATTTCAGGGGTCCCTGTTGCTGGAATGTTTGATTGCCTCCTCCAGTAATTAGCACTGACACTGAGCAAGTTTTTCAGAGGTCTCACTTGGCTGTGCAGAGACCAAAGACACACTGGGCTCTGTCTGTGGTGAGGAGAGGCCAATAATAATGTATTCCCCAAGAATAATATATTTCCCTGCTTCTCTCCACTCCCCTGGCACAGATAAGAGTGCCAAGGGATGGAGTCAGTGGCTGTCCTGCTGCACTTTTCCCTGCGTTGTTGTCCTGCATGAAATGCTCTTTCACTATTTTTTTAATGTGTAGAGAACAATTTAAACATTTTAACTTAAAGTCAATTGCCTCCTTGGTTTGGGAATACGATGGTAGTTAAAATGCTACAGGAATTTGGCACACCAGCAGTGAGCAACTCTGGTGGGCCCTTCCATGCCCGTTTAAAAGAGGGTGTATAATCAGAATTAAAGCACAGGGAATACAGAGAAATGCAGCCCCTTGTAACCCTTGAGGGGTAGGTGAGCATGTGGCTGGTCCTTCTTTAGGAACACCAACTGCCTGTTTGGAAAAAGAGGTGCTGGGGAACGTCGCTGTCTCCCTGCTCAACTTCCCAAATCCGCTCTGCAGGGAGAGGCACGCGCTGCACATCCCACCTGCAGATCTGGCCCAGCCTGGCGCTGCAAAAGGACATTTTCCATGTGCTACTGTGGAGAGGAAGCTGCTCTCTCCCTCACCCTGAGGAAGATGAGCTATAGGAATATACAAGGGGCTTTTTTTATAGCTCGGGGCCCAGGAGGGGAAGCAGTGGTCATGAGCAGAGGCTTGTTAAGTAAATCTCAGGCTGTAGCTGGTTTTAATTTATTTTTTGTTTTATGTGCAGGAGACTAGGCCTTGCAGGCCTGGCTAATATCAAAGCCTGGAGTTTTGTAGCTTTTTAATCAAGGTCCACTTTGGGGGGTTCTGCTCTCAGGGCTTGCGGACGTGTAGGATTTTTTTGTCATGTTTTTAATTTTTTTCTTGATGCAGTGTCTGGATTCCTTTAGTTCAACTTTTCCATTCTTCATACTTGAGCCAAGTGAGCCATTTCAAATAACCCAGCACTTTCCAGATATTTTTCTTTTTTGGTTGTTTGGGGTTTTTTTGGTTTAGGTTATTTCTTTTTTTTTCTGAATCAGACTTGCAGTCCAGTTTCTCTGAAAATCACAGATGGCACTGCAATCCTACCCCATTGCCTCTCAATAATTTGGCATTCTTTGCACTGTCTGAATAGTTTATTGTTCATCAAATCTGTATGAAAGGAATTTTATATAAATTTTTTGTTTGTTTTGTCCCTCTGCTGGCAGGAAAAGTAAATCCCAAAGTATTTCAGCAGGTGCTATTAATATGCAAATAATGGAGAGTACACTGGGTCTAATAGACCTCCCAACTACATGGGAGGTGTCGCTGTTGGAGCAAATTAGCTTTCTGTAATTTGCATGCTTTTCACAGCCTCCTGGGATTATATTTTAGATCAGAGACAATAAAAGCATATGCTCTTAGTTTTAAATGTAACTAATTTTAGACTTTGAAACCATTTTAACCTAACTTCTTAGTGTTAAATTGTTATTTGCACAGAAACTTTCCACAGAGCTTGTAATTTGCACAGCCTTTCTGTTCCCCCATCAACTGCTCCATCTCTCTTTCCAGGTTGAAAGAGAAGAAGGGAATCTACCAGGTGGCTGCATCTTGAAAAACAGGTATTTCTCACAAAATCCAGATTGTCCTAGCCTGGTTCCGAGTCTGCATTCATGTCCTGATGGGGTCTAGATTGAGCTTTTTATGTCAAACTTCTTCCCTCCCATTTGGTATCTCCGTATGGTGTAAATCTATCCCAGAAGGATGCTGTGGCCCCTGCTGGCTGCTCATGGAGGGAAGAGGCTGCTTGTACCATCAGCAAATCTTCTTTGCTCACCCAGCAAAGCAGAGTCCCTGAGCTGATGTGGCACTAACGCCCAGTGTGGCTGTGCCTGGTGAGAGTCTGTTGGGAAACTCTGTTTGGAACAAACGGGAAGAAAAGCAGGGTTTCACAGCAGGCTCAGTCTGTAGAGTCACACATTACTGACTTGTACTGGCACATTATCAATGGCACTTTCCAATTGGTATTGACAGCAGAAATTCCACTGTTGATGCCAGTGCTCTGGGACAATGGGAATGGTGGGGCCTATGGAGCAGTCTGTGTTTCAGGTGCTGCCATGGCTGCTTCGTGCTGGACTGGCCAGATGGGTGACACAGGGCAGCCACTCAGCCCTGCCTCTTGCCCCCGTCCTGCCCTTGTGGAGCTGGTAGGACCCCACTTCTGCTGCATGGAGGGAGTGCAGTGAGGGCTGTGAGAGGAGCTGCAGACAGAGCTGTCAGTCTGGGGAAGGTGCAGAGGCAGCCCCTGTGTTTTGTCCCAGTGCCCAAGGTGAGATTTGGGAGTTCCCTGTGGCACAGCTGCTCCATTGCTCATAGATCTCTGTGCAGGGTGTCCCAGTCACGGGGGCTTGTGGGGTGGTGGCCATCCTTTACTTCAGAGGGGACAGAGTTCAGGGGTAGGATCAAACATGTGGAGGAGATGGCTGCCAGGTGGAGATCAAGTTAATATTATCAGATTTATTTCTGCCACGGGAAAAGTGAGTGGGGCATGAGAGAGTGGGTCTTAGAGGGGTCCTTTGAGACAAGAAACTCTCGGGATGCAACTTTGGCCCTACAGCAATGTGTGGTAAGACTCTTCTGAATTTCTGGGGCCACAACTTTGTCATCAATGTTTTATAGGTGTGTTTCACAGAGAAAATGTATAGAAGCAGTTTGTTTCCTAAGGAGTACTCTTAAAACTGGAAAATATCAGGTGCTATTTTTTTTCTCTCATCTCACCCTGAATGTTTTCTAGCATTAATACCAGTGACGTCCCACTTCTGCTGCTTTTTATTAATGGGATGTGGCTTGCCAGTTATAAGCCTGGGCACTGGAGTTGGAAGCACTTGCTTTATTTAAAAATGAAAACAAAAATTAAAAAAAAAAAAAGGGCTCGGATTACTCAGGTGTCAACAGAAAAAAACTGCGATGTTGTGCCAGATGGCTGCATTTGTGAAGCAGAGTGTAGTCAGAAGGAAAGTGGAAGGAGACAAGGCAAGTGTACATCAGGAGTGTGAAAACATGACCAAAATACCTTCAGCCTTGTTTCACCAACACTGGATTAGGAGGCAACTGTGGTGAGATGCAAGCAAAGAAAAGCATAAGGGGACACTGTTTGGAAAACAAAAATGTCTTTCACAAAGGCTTTGAATTAACAAAAATCAGGAGGTTTTGCATTAAATGGGCCAGTGCCTCGGAGCGCTGTGCCAAGTGCCACTGCGAAGTGCCACACGTGACAGAGTGGAGCAGTGATGGCAGCAGGCTGTGTTGGGCCCAGGGTGCACGGGAGCAGGATGTGCTGCTGCCAGGCATTGCCGAGTGCCCGCTGTGCCCAGGGAGTCCAGCGCTGCCCAGCGCCAGCCACGGCTGCACGGGCCCAGGAAGGGTTTCCCAGGCATGTGGGAGCTGGGCTGGCTCCTCCCTCTGCCCGTGCCCACAGGTGGCACCCAGGAAGCCTCACGGCAGGGTCTGCGTTATGTGCACCCCAAAGTGGGCACTTGTGACACCAGCACTGGCGGGTTTGTGCCTCAGGCTGTTTGGACTCGTTCCCCACCTCCTGCAGAAGCTTCACTCAACTTCTGCTGCCAGGCCAAGGTCCATGCCAAGCTTGTAAAAGCCAAGCCCTTGGCAGGCCCGTGGGCAGGGGCTTTGTTACCCTTTTATATCCTGAAACAGAGCCTGGGCACTTTCAACTTTACTTCCATGCTGATGCTTTTGGCTGTCACATAGGGAAAAGTTTAGAGTAGTTTGATCTCAAATAACAAATCCACTTTTTTTTTTTTTTCCATGCTTAAGCATGGCTGGCTCTACCCAGACTGCTTTGGAGCCCTACCCTCTCTCCTCCTCTGTAGCGTCTCAGGTGAAGAGGAGGCTTTGACATGGGCACAGAGGGGCCACTCTGAAGGTATGGCCTCTTGTCTCTTGGCCTTGGTTGCATCTTGGTTTACAAATTTGGTGGTGCTTGGGTTTTGTCCCAAGAGTCTGAAATCCTGGTGTTAGGCTGCAGTTGATTAGAACATGGCCAAGAAAATCTGTGGTGATTTTCACCCAAACCATTTCCACACATCTGTCTCACCTGCCCAACCCCTTTTCACAGATACTTTTCTAGCAATGAACTTCATCCAAAGACACTGAAGGTAGGTTATATTTCCAACAACAGGTACAGAGAAAGTGGCAGGAACACGGAACGTCCTCTGATCCCTGCTCTGGTACAACTAAAGCTTGAATGTGGGTTCCATTCTTTTATTTGTATAAAATCTGAATTTCTACGCTAACTTTGGATCAAAAGTTTATTCTCCAACCAGGAAGATGTTTTGTTGTTTTTTTGGGTTTTTTTTATTTGCTACAAACTGCATTGTCTTATTTGAGGAGTATGTTCACAATTGAGAAAGAATTGCCTTTATTAACAAATCAAAAGCTTGTGCTGTCAAAACTGAAATCGTTCTACCTTTTTATGTGCAAATTGGAGCTTCTGTCAAACCTTCAGCCATGGTGCATTTAATTTGTGGAAATATAAAAACATCTGGCTTAATATTCAAATATTCTGCATGAGGAAGGAAATATTTGAAGTGATGCATTGCAGTCAAGATTCTTGAAAAATTAGATTTGAAAGAAATAAAGTAGTACTTTAACAGAATTTTCCTTACTCTTGCCAGTGTTCAGAGCAGTCTTTAGAAGTGTGTTGAAGTTTTACAGGTGTCTGAATATCTAGTTGGATCATGGCCTTTGGGAGTGAACCAAGCTAAATCTAAGTGTGTCCAGGGCAAGGGAACTACATCCGCTGGGTTTTTCCTCAGGAAAGGATCACAAGATGTTTATTTTTTAATTAATGGCACAGGTACTGAGAAACTTTCCAGAAAATTCATTAAAGTTGGGGTTAAACAAAAAAAAAAGGCAACTATTCGTTCCAGCATAGTAACTTGTGGTTTGGAAGGTATTTGTAGAGAGGGTAAAATTCTGATTATCTGAAGCTGGGCCCTGGTTGTATAATTCCAAATAAAGAGCTGTGTGCCCAGCAAGGTGAGACACTGATGGACTGAACCCGAGCTCCTTCCTGAGCACAAGGAGTTTGGGCTTGGGCCTGAGGCAGCCCACACGAACCCTGAGCCTGGAGCTGCTGATTTCCTTCTGCTCTTTGAAGCAACTTGTCCTGCAGTTGGCCTGGTTCTGTTGGGAGAACAAGGAAAACCCTGCAGAACCACCTGCAAAAAGCCTTTTGAGTGTGCTCAGTGTCTTTAGCTGCATTTTGGCCGATTAGGGTTTTTTCCTAGCATCCCAGCAGGCTACTTCAATGTTAAATTCCCAGCTTTCCTGTGACCCAGGAGCCTTTCCCGTAGCTCTTTGAGAGGAGAGTCCTGTCCAGGCAGGCTGTGTTTCCCCATTGTTTTTTTCCAATCAGATGAGAATACCTCGTTCTGTCTTTGGGGAGGTTTTAATGGGGTCCCTTTTACCTCATTATTTCCAAGGCCTGAACCAGGAACTTTTGCTCTTCTGCAGAGCTGAGAGGAGAGGAAGTGGCTGTTCCTTGAGGAGCAGCTTCAGTCCCTAAAGTGCCAGTGCCATTATCCCACAGAAAAGGCCACTGGAGAAGTGCGTTAGTGATGCTTGTGGCCAAGCTGGGATGTGCCCATGGAACTCTGGTGCAGGTGTTGTTTCCAGCCACATGGCTCTAGCAGAAGAGCCCTTCCCACCAAACCAGTAGGGTTACAACCACCCACTTCTGTGCAGAAGGTGAAGAAAATGTCCCATGAATTGCTGTCAACTGTCAGAAGCTCCTTTTGGGGGTGAATTATTGTCTGCAGGCATCCAGAGCACTTGGTCCCCTACAACTTTAATGCTATTGTTGTCAGCAATGCAGAATTCCAGCAACCAGGGGTTTTACGTTTAGTTCTGGCTCATCTCTCCAAGGGGGCTCCTGCAGGCTGAATGTGCAGTGCACTGCATGTGAAGGTGTTTATTAGCTCATTATCCGTAATTAATGGCAAGGCAGCTACTGAGACTGTGGGCTGTCCCAGGCAAAGCCTGCATGTTCTCTTTTCATACCCATGCCCCAGCATGAATTATATCATGTTCATATTCAGCCTCTCACCATCAGAGACCAACAAAGTGGTTTGGGTTGGGATCTCCTCTTTCAGGCCATAAACATATGATCCAGGCACCCCATAAAGTACATTCCTCCAGCCTTCCATGAATTCTCAGGCATAGCTGTGGCATGCAGCAGGGCTTGAGTCTGGTCCCTGCAGCTGGAGAAATCCTGCCCAGCACAGCTCTAAGGCACGGTGTGAAACACACACTGGACCTTCACTGGTGAGTTTTCCTCTGCTGCAGTCACAACTTCCATTCTTTTTCTAAAATAGTGGATACTGTGCTGTCCCCCTGTTTCCATGCAGGGATTCAGGGACAAAGCTCACTGAATGCCACAGCTTGCTGAGGTGGGAGGTGCAGGATGGAAGTCAGGGCACTAGTGGGATGGGCACCTCCCTGGCAACTCCTCCCCTGCCAGGATTGCTGCAGCCTTGTGCACTTGATCCTTTAATTGGCCCATGTGCAGGCTGGACAGCTCTCTCTTTATTATTGTTATTATTATGCAATCAGACACTACTTACCTTCAGAATGTGCTGGAGATGCACTATTTATACAGAAACCATGTACGCCGAGACCCATTTTCTCCATTGTGATTGCAGATAATATGGAAAGCTCTGCTTTGATTCATTAGTAGAGCAAAAGACACAGGATTATTTGGTATAATTCACAGCAATTCAAAATGTGTATATTTTCATACCACTTGGACTGGTAACTCAAGCTTTGCTGTAGTGCTGTCATCTTAAAATCGGGGTGGTGCCTTTTTTTCACTGGAACAGGACAACCTGGAAGGTCATTAAGTGTGGGATTTCTGTGCAGTGTTTGTAAAACTGCTCAGAGCTCAGGAGGATCCCTGGCACCTCCAGAGCCCTCAGAGTAAAGGGGAACAAACAAGATGAAAACTTGTTTTTATACAATCATAGAATAGTTTGGGCTGGATGGGAGCCTTGACAATGGTCCAGTTCCAGCCCCCAAAAAAAGAGAAAAAAAATCTAAGGAATTTTGTTTCTTGGGTTGAAAAATAGAACCACTGAGTTAATTTTAATGAGTTCATTTTGTTTATGACAAAAGTATTCTTTAGTATTTCTTTTGGATAAAATTTTGTGCTGCATATACTCTGTGTTGTTTTCTGACAAGGCAAGTAAGCAAAACTCCTCAGATAATTTCAAAGTGTGGGTACAGATTTTTTTGTAAAAATGCAGATGGAAATTTCTGACAGCCATTTACAGTCTTTTCACCCAAGCATCATGTGCACATAGACCTCACCACCCTCACAGCAAGCCTTGTCCACTGGAGACAGGATTTAAAATATCACTGCTTAAGTGATTAAACTTACCTTATGCTCCTGAGACCACCATGTGGGGGTTTATCCTTTTCTCCTTTCACTACTCATCTCTCTGGGACTTTGCTGGACACTGTGGAGTATTTTCCCACCTCTGGAAATCAGCTGTATAATTTACATGTCTAATTTCATTTGCTTGGTGACCAGGGCTTTTCTTTTAGTACCATGAATTAAAATGTTCCAGTTGTAACCTGCAAATCTTCCTCAGCCCATCCTGGGAAAAGACAATGTGGTCAGACAAGCTTTTCACTCAGTTCCCAGCTTCTCCCACCTCTAAACCTGAGGTCACCCATGTACCTGATTTCCCAACTCAACCTCTCTAATCAGTTACATATTTTTAAATAATTGTCTGAAAAAATGGTCAGAAATTATGAAGATCATTACCAGTGAGAAGCTGCCTTAACTGCTGCCATTCCCCCATGTATGTATTTGCTTCCCTGTATTAACACCTGAAATGTCTGGGAAAAAAATTTAAACATGGCCAAACTGCATTTAATGCAGGAGCTTTCACACCTCTGGGCTCTGTATTTATATTAGCTCTGTCATGTTTCTTTCTTGTACTGACCTGGAGAAGAGGATTTTTTTTTTCTTATCTGATTAAAAGGTTGTCTGTCATGATGTGGTTATTGCAGCACAAAATATTGTCTAAAACTTGACCCTGAACAAATTTTGTACAAGGACAGTTTACCCCAGAATTCCAAAGGAGGTGAAATCCTTCTCGTGCTCTCCAAAGAGAGCTGCTTGGAGTAAATAAAACTGGGGTGAGTCTGAAAATCCATCACGGAGCCTCAATTTTAAATGTAGTCTCTGATCCTGGCTGAAGCCACTCTGCTCCTAGTGTTACTCCACTGTACTTGGAGTTTAACATGAGTTAAAGTGGATTTTCATTGATGGGCGAGTCAGAAATTTAAAAATTACATGTAATAATCATTGTGTGTTGCTTGAAAAACATTCAAGGTACTAGTAGCTTTATCAAATGACAATTGTTCAGTGAGTGTTGCCAACCAAAAAGAGGAATGAATTAGGACCTTCACAAATTTCCCATCCCCTTCCATTTACATTGTCCATGAACTGGCTGATTTTTCTTTTTTTTTTTTTTTTTTTTTTTTTTTTTTTTTTTTTTTTTTTTCCCATTACACATAATTATTCCCAAAGTCTTTTGTGGAGGGAGGATATCTTTTCCTTCCTCTGAGACATGGTACTTCTGAAGCAGACAAGAGGTGTTGTGCTCACAGACTGCTTACATGGGGCTGGTTCTTTTCCCTAATTGAATGGATGTGACTTAGGGAAGTTTCTCCATTTAAGTTAGTTGTGTTATTTGTTCAGAACATCTCTCTGCAAATATTTTTAAGTGTTCTGGTTCATTCACTGTTAGAATGGCTGGAGGTAGCAGATGCAATCCCTGGCTCGTTGAAATGCACAGGAAATATTTCATATGGCAGTGCAGGACTTTATTCTTCCAAAATGCAGAATCCTTAGTTAAGGGCTCAACTGTAAAAGATTTACTCACTCTGCTGAGTCCCGCATCTGCCACTGCTCGTGGGCCCTCTATGAGCAGTTACCTGAACTCCTCCCCACCACTGTAAACAGGAACTTTCACTCTGGTAACTTTTTAAGAGCGGTAGTTAAAAAAAAAAAAAAAAAGAAAAGAAAGGAAAAAAAAAAAAAGAGAACGTAAAGAACTGCTTTTTTAAACTGTCCTTTTAAAGTCGAGTGCCTGAAGCAGCCCTGGCCAAAGGGAGGGCTGGGTTGTTGTTTTTTTAGCGAGACACAAAGCCAGAAGGGCTCTGTTCTCACATGCTAATGAAGCCCAAGGTGACAGGAATTTGGCAGAGCCTGATCCCAGCAGCTGCGGGCCAGGATGGCACTGGCCAGGGCATTACACTGAAGCATCACTGAACACAAACCTACAGCCTGCTCCTTGAACTTAATCAGAAATTATTCCAGTGCCAAATGCCCTCACTATAGCCCAGGTTTTTGGCAAAGTGTTTTTCAGATTAAGCGATAAATATTTTAGGAATTTAAGAGCAGTGTCCAGAGCCTGGACCATTTGCTTTCTTTCCAGAAATACTTTGGAGGTGCTCAGTGCCCAGTGAGCTTTCAGGGTGAATTGTCAGTAAAGGGTACACTCACCCAGAGGAGATACATTTCAGAGCACTTGTGCTGTGCATCATGAGGGATCATCTTCAAACTTTACCAGTGCTTCAAGAAAGAAAAATAAGAAAAACTATCAGAGCAAATTATAAATTTTTTTATAAATAAAAAAGCAAATTTTTGAAGTTCAGCTCTTGTACACCAACCTCATCCCTCTGAGGCAGAAACACAATTGCCCCACATCCAAATCAGTGGGGCTGCTCTGAATCCCAGTTTGGGGATGCTCTGACCAATCAGGTGCCACCAGAGCGATGTGTCTGTCCCAGGAGTGCCACTCACTGCACTGGGCACAGGATGATGTGCCCACAAGTAGCTCCTGCAAAGTAAAGCCAAACAGAAAGACCAACCTCTGCCAGGCCAGGTGATTTATTTACCTTCAAGTGAAACATGGCTGTTCTTTGCCACTTCTTTCTGGACAGAAATTCAGCTCTGCATTTTAACAGAAAACAACGGAAATAAAACATTTTCAGGTGAGGGGAGAAATTTCAAGTTCCTTAAAATTACTGTGAAATCAATAAGTAAACAAACAGAGGGTGTGCTATTCCGTCACCTCACTTCCCTTTTTTTCCCCCCCAGAAAGCCATTTCCAGCTGGATTTCCCCCAAGATGTTAATATTGTGCTGGGTTTAATGCTGACTGAAGCAAGGTAGCAAGCAGTTATTGCAGGCCTGACATGCCTGTTCTGCCAGGGAACAGCGTGAGCTTTCAACTCAGAAAACAAGGTGAACTTTGTTGGGTCATCAATCTGCTTTTGCCTGCCTTGGCCAGGTATGTGCTCACAACGAGGATGACTTTAATTCAGGATCAATTTATTTGTACTTTCCTTAGTCAAGGCCTGAGTGGCAAGGGTTGAAAATGTTAAACCCCAAGGTTTTGGGGTTTTTTTCTGGAAAACAAGTTCTTCTTTTGAAGAACTGGTCTGAAGTTTGTCGTGGTAGCTTTGTAGGCAGTTTGCTCAGAGAGCTGATGTTCCTGATTGTGAAACTAGAAGCTGAAACATTTTAAACAGAGCCAGGCAAAGGCAATCTTTCAATTTTCTGCTTCCTAGAGTGTGCTTGCAAAGGACAACTACTCTTTAGTTGTTCCTCTTCAGCATGAATTCCTGTTCCATCTCCTTCATTCCTCAGATCTAGTCCTCATATCAGAGGCAGAAATACAGCTCTGTGTCACTGTAATGTGACAAAGAACCAGCACTGAAAATGGGCTTTAAATGGTGCCACTATGTTGATTTCGTTGGATTTTGCCTGAGAAATAATATGCAAATTAAAGCATTAGTCATAAGGGTGCACCATACTTAAAAATATACCTTTAATGCTCAGGGTCCAAACATTCATGTTTTCTGTTTCAAATACTTCATTAGCTCTATTTCCCCTTGGTTTTCTTTCTTTAAGCCTGATGCTGCTCCTAGGATGTGTGTGCTTGTATTTGTGTGCATGTGTAGGCCCATGATTGTTTCTACTGCTAAAGCTGGCAACGTAGCTACTGTTTTCCAAGCTCAGTTACTATTTTGGCAAACCATGGGTATTTGGGGATATGAAAACTGCTCAACCGCCTTAAGGAAAAAAATTCCATAGGTTTTTGTTTCCATACTTTCCAGTTTTCCACTCATCAGTTGCAGGCTCGTGTTGAAAAATGTCTTTCAGTGTCAAAACATCTGAAGAGCAAATACCAGCAGTGGGGAGCAAGTTCACTCTCTCTGAGCAGGACTGGCTGCTACAAGGGAATAAATAACAAATAACACAAGCAGATGCAGATGAATATTAACTAATATCAAAGCACACCTACCCCTCTGAATTGCTTTCTCTGTTCACATTCTTGCCATTTGAGCAGCAGGGCAGCACCAGCTCTCCTTACATATTGCAGCCCGAGAAAACAGCTCCAAAGGGCCAAAAGAAGCAAATAAAATGTATTCGTTATTATGGCTGACCTTAGGCAGGCAGTATGTGGAGCTGCGGGAATCATTCACGGAATCTCTGATTATAAGTATGGTGATAACTGGTAAGACTGTGCTGAACTACTGTGAAACAATTCAGGTAGTCAGCAAACAGGGCTAATTGCTAGTTTGGGGGAGATTATGGGTAATTTACTGCCCACTGAGGGCTTCTACCTAAAAATAAGCTTTTTTTTTTTTTCTCCCTTTGGACAGTACTTGCATGTTAATGTAGAATTCCTGATGCAATTACATGTGAAGAGGACATTCAGATGCACTTCCATAAATGCCCTTCTGCTTCTCAATTACATTAACTGTCTTTGTAGATCCTTTGATAGAAATCATATTCTTCACTTTTTTTTAAATAGCGAACAGGCGCTGAGTTAGACTTTGCTGTTATCCAAGATGTCCCGATCAAAGGGCTGAGGGTAACACAATAAACACAAGGCAAGAAACTCCTGGTGGTTTCCAACACAAACTAACGGGGAAGTGTCAAGCGAGCAGCTACTGACAATTCCAGCCTGAAACCAAATGTTCATGTGTGAAACTCCACCTTTGAGAAGGAAGAACAAACACCCACAGAGTGTTTTGGTTATAATTACTTCATTTAAGGGGAAAAAGAAAAAAGTGCTGGATTCGGTTTGCTGAAGTCAAGACATTAATATTTTTGGCATGTAAAGATGTAAACCAAATGTTTAAATGAAATGTCATCCCCTGGGTTCACATTTGCCCACTGAACTATGGTGCACACCCTCCACAGACCTTCATACAATACACATTTTTCAGTTCATTGAAGAAGGCCCCCGCTGCTTCTCAAGGAAAACTAACTTGTAGAAGCAAAATAAATACTGGCATGGCACTGCAGCAGCAGAGCCTCAGAGCACAGATGTGCAGCACTGCCAGTTTTTCCATCAGATAAGGAGCATCCAGACATAATCACTACAGTGTCTGGGACGCAGCGCACGCTGCGGCGCTGCCCAAGTATGGCCTGACAGACACATGCAGGGAGTGCTCAGGCTGGGAGGCAAGGAGCTGACAGCACTGCAGAGCAGGCCTGTTATGTCTATAGCCAAATGTTTGTGTAACTTAGCCTGGGCTTTGAAATAGCCTCCGAAATCAGGGCACAAATGGAGCTTTGTGAGGAGCTGTCAGGGATGTACCTGCTGCACGGGGACCTTGGCTGGAGGAGGGGCAGCCTGGAACTGTCACATTGGGAAGCTTCCGTCATCCCCCATCCAGCCCGCGGGGCTGCTACAGGGCTGCTCCTGGAGAAAAACTTTATACACATACATACGTACATATATATATATACACACATGTGTACGTACATACATATATATATATATATATATATATACATATATATACACACATGTGAAGGTCAGCAAGATGATTAGAGGGGTGCAGCACCCCTATGAGGAAAGGCTGAGTGAATTGGAGTTGTCCAGCCTGGAAAAGAGAAGTCTTTGGAGTCACCTAATTGTGGCCTTCCAGTACCTTTGAAGGGAGCCTGCAATGGAACATGGAGAAAGACAATATCCAAGGGCCTGGTGTGACAGGACAAGGGGAAATGGCTTCAAATGGAGAGGAGGTTTAAATTGGCTATAAGGAGAAAAAATCTTCTCTGTGAGGAGGGGGAGGCCTGGCACAGGTTGCCCAGAGCAGCTGTGGCTGCCCCATCCCTGAAAGTGTCCAAGGCCAGGCTGGACAGGGCTTGGAGCAACCTGGGACAGTGGAAGGTGGAAACTTGAGATGAATTTTAAAGTCCCTTCCAACCCAAATCAGTCTGTGATTCTGTGATATAAGTGTCTATTTATATCTACATATACACACACAGAGAGAAATTCATACAGAAATACACACACACACATATATATATTATATATATTTGGCCTCATATTTAATTGTGGGCCCTCGCCCTAACTGCACTGTGGCATGCAAAGGGTTACTTCTGGCTGCTTTTAGGCAAGACACCTCTAAAAAAGAAAAAAAAAGTAAATGTAACCCTACAGAAATACAGCTCCCTGGGTCTGTGGTAGTTCCTATTAAGATATACAAAGTATCTTAGCAAGGGAAAATTTAAGTTACATACAACACATGATTTTAAGTACAGAAATATTGATGGAGCAGGGTGGGGGGGTGGGGGGGGACGGACAAGTATTTTTTTAGCTCTAATTTATGGCTGAGCAGCTTCATTTTAGGTACTTCATGGGAATATTTTAAACCAAGCCTGCATAATATTAAAATAAGTTAAAATGTATGTAAAATTTATGAGAGCATGTCAGGTGCAATGCTTGATAAAGTAAGTTTAATGCTTCAGAATTTTTTTCTTCAGGCAGAGAAAGCTGAATCCTGCAATTCTAGGTTACAGTATAATTTTAGAAATTCTTTTCCATTATACCATTCTTTTATTAATGAGATCCAACCCAATTTAACAAAAAGAGGTAAATTCCTAAAGAGTTTGTGGAAAGTCCTCAGCAGGTTGGAAGCTGGGAGTGTGTGATAAAAGGTGGTATTCTCCTGTTCATAGGATCTATTCCATTTTACAAAAACACAGAGGAAATCAATTCACAACAAACTTTCCAAGGGTGCCTCCCCAGTGTGGTTTTCCTCCTGGAAATGCCGCCTGGCTCCGTGAGCAAACAAAAGCTTTGGCAGTTGACAGGGGCTGTATATCACTTTGAAAACTCTTCATTTACCGGGGGTGTGTCATATTGCTTCATTGTGTGACACTCCCAATTATCGTGACAGAGCCAAGTGACAAAGTACTGTCACCCCACTGCAAATCCAGAGCAGCTTCTTTCCATTTTTCTGCCTGGTCATGGGAATGTCACTGAGCCAGTACAAAGGAGCAGCAGGAGCCGCAAACAAGGGCTCCAATGGCTGCAAACTGCTCTCCTCTATTAAAAATTCAGCTCCTTGGCAATATTAAATCTGAATTTACTTCCATCAAACAGAAACTTAGCATATCTCATTCTTCCATTACAAAATATTGACATCAGGAACAGTGAATCCTGAAATTAAGATTATAGATGAAAACTATGTGCTTGGTAATTATAATTTTTTTTCTTTGTTATTATTGCTTTCCTCTGAGGATTGCACAGGCTGTTGCAAACAGTAATGAAGTTAGCATGCAATGCCAATGCAAAGTGTGCTGCAAAGTTATTCCTTCCCTCATTATGGATGAGGGAGGCGAGACAGCAGGAGGAGGGAGATTTCCCCAGCCAAACCCGCACACGGGTGGGACAGCCCCACCCTCATGTCTTAATCAGCATCCCTGGTGAGGAGACCCTCAGTGCCATCTTGTTTCTGTCTCCTTTTGTTCTGCCATTTCCCTGGGATTTTTTAGGTCTGTACTGGAGCTCAGAGCTATTAATATCAATGACACTTTTTTTGTCAGAAACCAAGCAGACGGTTCACAAAGCCTTTCACTGCCCTGTCTTGCAACGCTCTCAATTAACCAGAGCACTGGAAAACACAGTTCCAGGGTAGAAATGTCCAGCCCCTCATCCCAACAGCCCTTCTTGAGGCCTGACACCACAGTATGAAAAGATCAACAAGCTGGCCAGCCTGCAGTGGGATAACCCTTTGGTTCCTGCCTATGGAGACAGCCTGTGGCTTGGGATGGCTTCCACCACAAGAGCCATGCTGAAATTCCCACCTGGCTGATGAACTTAGTCCTGGCTGGTGCCTCTCTCCGAGGTGACCACACAGAGAGGTCCCACTTGGTTGGATGGAGTTGTTTGAGGGCCTCCTCCACATCCTCTTGAACCCTGCTCGTGGCCTGCAGATGTTCTGGAGGAGCGTGATGCATCCCAGGTGCGACATCACAGACTGAGTCTGTCTCATGTGCTTCCTACGAAAATCAATCCACGTCAATAAAGTGGCCACCCTCCTCCCACTGTGCTTGCAGAGGTTCAAAGCAAGACCAATTACTCTTAAAGTGGAATTGTCAGGTGTCAGATGAGAACAGAGAAGTTGAAGCATTATGTATAGAAACAGATTTATTTAGAGGACTTGAAGAATTTGTTTTGCTATCAACAGGTCTATAAGAAGCGCTTTTATAGTACAGTCTAATAGAAACTGATACCTTGCAAAATGATAGGGGGATATTGTTTGGGGGGGGAGGGGGGTTCCCTTTTTCTCTTCTTTTTGTACCAGTCAAACACAGAGCTGCCTCCCAAAGCACATAAACTCACACCCAAGCTCAAGGCAGCCATGGCAGTAAAGCTCCTGACCTTGAAGGGTGTTTGGTCGCAACCCTTCTTGCCAAACACATCCCCTTGCTGGTTCCCATTTCTCCACGCTTCATTTATATATAATATATAAATATCTTTGCCATGCACTCAGTTTTTTGTGTTTGGTTCCAAAACTGAGAACCCTTCCAGTCTCCAAGTCTAAATCTTCATGTGAACCTCCCTGTCCCTGCCAAGCCCACAGCATACATATATCACAGCATATTACAATCACACAAGACGTTCCCAAGTTTAACAGTTCTCATCCCAGAATACCAAACCCCTCTCCTAGCATTCCCAACAAATCAATATGCATTATTATTACATGCTCAGATACTACATCAGATTTCTGCTCATGCCAAAATTTCAGCTAGCTGTTCCCTGGAGTATTTACGCTTGTGTACTGTATTTAACAACAGCCCATTCAAAATGCTCACAGCTCCTCGGAATGAAATGCACATAATTTAGGAATAGCTGTCTGGCTATTCAGGCATCATGCTGTGTCAAGGGAAAATTAAATCTCTGACTCTCCCCCTCTTCTAAAACAAACCTGTACTTTGCATCATATTTTGGGGAGCTGCATGGAAGTTTCATAAAGACCAAGTGGCCTTGACTCTTTTTTCCCTGTTTAATGGCAGTGCCTCCCCATTAATGCTCCAAAATGATACAGTAGTTTGAAAAAAAAGCTCTCAGCATGCAGGCATTGTATCACATTAAGAAATCAGGATTTTCTAGGCACTGCACAGCATTAATTACACTGAGCATGCTGCAAATTTAAATTAAATGATATGCCATGTTCTGTTGTAAATATCAAAATGGATTGCAAGATAGAACCCCATATTGGCATTTGTGCACTGAACAGGATCAGAAAACCTCTATGATATGCAATTTCTTTTTATTTTAAGCATATGTAATGCAAATGTGGTTTTATTTTCAGGAGTACCTAAGAGCACACACATATACAGGTTAGAACTTGTCTGTACTGAAAAAAAAAAAACCCCAAAAACCAAACAAGCCCTCTTTTAATAATAACAACAACGATAAAAGAACAAAAAAAAGCCCTCTTTGCCTTCATTTCCTTTCCCACATAAAAGAACAAATTATGCTTCTCTTCCCCTCCAGCAAGTATTTACAATGTAGGGAATGGAGGGTACTGAGAGGAAGATGGGGAATACGAGGGGCTGGAGCAGGTCAGCAGGAATCAGGAGGATCTGATTTCATCATGTGGGTTGGAGTACCAGCATGCCATAGAAGCAAATGCTGAGGGGGTTCAACTCACTCAAGCAGGGAAGGGCTGCTCTTCCAGCTGGAGTTTCAGACAGGAGAGGAGTAAGGGTTGAGCTGTCTCACCTCTGTGGTGATGAGGGAAGCCTGATTTGGTGATGCCATGGCAAGAAGTGTCTGAAGAGAACAAAAACAATAAACAAAAGCTCTGTCAGTATTTGTATTTTCTTGGCATTGGTATTTTGCCGTTCTATACTATCAGGTTGAATGGTCACAACCTCAGCAGCCTCTGCCCTCAACAACTGGATGAGGAATATTTCTAGTGTAATTTCACATATTTCTATGTGACTAAATACTAGACAAATATTTTACAACTTTGCACATCAGGGAAAGGATGGCATTTAGTTAACTCTATAGAAAAGGCCTTAAAAAATTCTGTATTTTTGGGGGCTTATTTTAGGCCTTGATGAAATGATGAGCACTGAGCTGAGACCCACAGGTGAGTGCCAGTCTGAACTGGCACACGGGCACAAAGCATGAAGGAGACACAGCAAAAATGTGTGGGCAGGGACATGCAGAGCCACTGACTTTTCTTCAAACACAGCATCACCATATTCTTTCTAAATTATCTTCTCTGTGTCTTTTGCTCCTAGGCCTTGTCCTCCTGTCCCATTTTGCAGCAGTCCTGTCTGTGGGAGAAGTACAACTGTGGGACGCCTGATGAAAAGAGATGGTTGAACAACTGGCCTTCAGCTCTGTCACCTTTTCTTGCTGCTGGCATAAACAAAACACACAAAAAAACCCCACCCAAAAACCACAAAAACAAACGAACAAACAAAACCACCAAAAAAAGACAAAAAAAATCCAATGCAAAGATAGTTTATGTACAGCTCAGGAAGCTCACAGCAATGAGTGTGTCTGTGATTTAATAACACATCTACCCAAAATGACACTTCTTCTAATACTCACTGAGAAAAAGAAGGCAGAGCAGCACACAAGGCACTGCTATTGCAGCAACAAGCAGCCAAACTAGCAGGTATTTATTTTTCAATGTACACAATTACTGGGGGAGAATAAAAATTATTCTTTGACACTCTGACAGAGCCGTAAAAAGCTCTGTGCTTCCCCTACTCCCATGGTCCTGACAAGAAACACCTCACCAATTCTAATAAATAGAGAATAGAAATAAATACTTTAACTACACAGCATCAGGTTTCAAATGGCTTCCTGAATCAGAAAGTGCTGCTAGTCCATCTTCCTTATTTCCACACTCAGTAATGGTGGCTCTCCAAAAGTCAAAGTGAGATGGATACTACAAGGATCACAGACACTACACTGGGAAACCAAGTATCAGTGGGGTACGTCCAGATTTATGGTAGGTGATGGCAGTAAAGTGAAAGTAAAACTGTTTGCACAGTCTGTATTGTTGGCCATTACTGTGTATTTGCCCTTTTTTCTTGCTTAGCTGCAGCTGGAAGAATGGAAAATTGTACCTTCTATACAGTATTAGAAAACACTTTCTGATCATAAGGTCAATCAGATTGGTTTAGCTGCTTGAGGTATTTATGGCACCATCACTCAGTGTCTTTAAGGAAAGGTTAGATACATTTATGGGAAAGGTATTTTGCAGAAGCTTTCCTGCTTCATAGAGGTCTTGGACAAAATGACCCAGGAGGCCCCTTCCAAGTCTATCAAGTGTGGTTCCCTGATTGATGCTGTTTTCCCCCAAAGTCTTTTCAAAACACAAAGCACTGTTATAAAATTTAATATGATACACTATATAACTTTAACACAATGCCATTTTCTTAAAGGAAATGGTTAGCTGGTAGCACAGGAGCCTCGTGCAAGAGGAAAAAATGTAGAAAAAAAGAAATTGCAGTGCAGTTTCTCTGCTGAGGGATATCGACTATAACATTTACTCTGTGTCTGAGCATGGACTCTTAGCTGTGCAGGGGGACACCAAGCCAGGAAAGTATATAAGGAACCCAGGCTGTGGAATTTATTTCTCCAGAAAAGCCCGACAAGGCCTGAGGTAATTTTCTATGCTGTGCAATAATCATTCCCTCAATGCTGGGAAGCAAATGGACACCCAGCTCTCCTTGTAAATCACTGCCTGGTGCTGTATCAGCTGGGCCTGGGGCAGAGCTGCCTGGGGACCAGGAGAGTCCCAGCCCTCCTGCACAGGCACAGGCACAGGGCCGGAGCTCAGGTGTGTCCTGCACCACCTGCACCAGCGAGAAGAGCCCGTCTGTAACTCACGGCTCTGGCCTGTCCTGCTGCCATCCCAGCTGCACCATGGAGCAGGCGGAGCAAATCCCTGAAAATGGCGAGCGCCAAAAGCTGCACTTTGGAAAAAGGGCAGCACCACCCCTGGTAATGTGTTTGTCTGATGACTAAAGAATGAGCAAGAGAGCTTGGGCCATATTTCTCTTGTCTGAATACAAGATTGATTGTCAGGCAGAATCCTCTCCAGGTCTTCTGTGTTTCCACCAAACCATTCAGTAAAATGATAATATTCTTCTCCCTACTATACTTACTTGTTTTGTTGTGTTTTAATTTGCTGAATGTTTCCTATATTGACTTTTATTTTTCCTTTGAAACAGTTAACATTTAAAAATTAAAGTCATGTAATTATTTAAAAAAAACAACCAACAAGAAAAACCCAACCAGATCCTCTGGACCATCTGGTTGAAATGCTCTGGGTCAGCCTCCACTAATCTCTAGTCAGTTTTAATTTTAGATTTTCATAGGAAAAAAAAGAAGGAAGAAACCCCAGAATTTTATTGAATTGGAGTTTACTCTCAAAATCATTTTATACTAACCTTTTTATTTTCACTCCAACTAATTTAGTTAAAGGCCAAACTCTTCTTCCAAAAATCAGCTCCCAGCCCCCATCTTCTTGGGATAGCCCTAACAGGAAATAACAACATCTATATACAGACACTCTGAAGCCTTTTGAAGTCTCACAAATGTGAGCTGTTCCCTTTTGCAGAGCAGGCTGGGATTAACTCTTTTATTAACCTTATAACCTCATCCATGAAAAAAAATAATAGCCAATCCCTTTTATTTTGTTTCTTTTAAAATCTGGATGCATGCTGCCTTCTCTACCCAAACATTTGTGAGCTCACCCTACAGAGAGGAGCAAAAAAAGCCCATGGAAAGCCCCCTCTCCCTGTGGAGCTCCCCAAAGCCCCTCTTGCCCCTCCCATTATGTTGCACTCAGTGTCAAAGTTTGTGTTTTCACTGGAAGATATTTTTGCTTTACAGGAGGCTTGTGTCTCTGTATTGGTGGGAGCAAATAACAACCTTTTGGTCCTTTTCAACACATTACATCAATGCATTTTCCTGATTCCCATGACAAAAAAGGATCTTTTAGCAGAATGAAAAATCTGACCTGGGTGTAATCCTGACAGCGCTCCAATTGCTCATCCTTAGCTTCATCCCTGCACTGCAGTGCAGAATAAGAGGCTCACACTGGAATAGCTCTTCTCACCAGAGTCAAAATGGTAAAAATTTGCTCACAGAGTGACACGAGCAGGAATTTCAAAGGAAAATTTATCTCCTGCTCTTTGTCTTACAATATGGTGCACTGTGGTGGCTGGAAGATTTAACTTCCAAGCATCCCATCTATATAAATCCTACTGGAAAACAATTTTTTAGGGTGCTTAGCTCAGCAGCTGGAATCTGCCAGGGAATGATTGCCAAGATAAGGATGGAGAAAAACTTTTCTGTAGCCTTCAGGTGTTGGTCGAGGGTCAGGATTAGGGAATAGCTCTCAGCTTTGGCTCTCAGAGCTCCGTGTGTTGCACGAGGTCACGGCTCACTGGTGTAAGGACCAGGGGTTTGGGCCAGTCCTGCCTCTGCCCTGCTCAGCTCGGCCCATTAACTCCTCTGGTGATACAGCCCCTCTTGGGTTTTCTGCTTTTCAAAGATTTACACTTGGTTTAAATCTCAATCAAAAGCTCCACTTGAGATTTTGGGAGGCCAAGACACTTAAAAATCTCCAATGGGAAGGGCAAGTGAGGAAGGCAGAATATCTCTCCCTTGCAAAGGCATTCAAATACCACTTGGATGAGGAGTTTCCATCTACTTTGCTGGATAAACAGACATCACAGTTCTAATGTGCAGGGGTGCCCTTCACACCAACAGGCAGAGAAAAGATGCAATGGGAAGAGTAAGAGGCACCAGAATAAAAAAAGGCAGGATCCAACTGAAATTTTACCTTTGATCTTTGAAAATGGGAAAACCCATTCGGGATCAGGAATTTCCAGACTGGGCTGTATGCACCATTAATTGTTTTCCATGAAGCAGAGCTGGTCTGCTATTGTTGCATCCTCCAAAAACAGCTGTTACTATGAGCTCTATGGGATTCAGGAACTCCACTTCCCAGTTTTCACTTAGTACTTCAGTGATCATATATAAATAATAGTAATGATAATTATAACAATACCTGGCTTGCCATTATGTTGTACTCAGTCTTTGTGATGCTCTCTCATAATAAAATCTGTGTATTAAACACTTTAACTGAAACTCTTAATAAAACAGTGATATTTTTACTTGTGCTGTTATATTCACATAATGACCACAAAGCACTTTACAGAATCAAATGGAAGTCGCCAGTCTGATCCTTCTATAGAGCATTTTGTGCATCTCAGCAGTGCGTAACAAAGCTGCTGTATAGACAAGTAACTGTCAAACATACCACATTTTGGGGTTTGTCCTGGCTGAGCAGCATCCAAAAGCCTGGGGTTTGTCCTTCAGATTGGTGTGAAAGTCTGTAAAGCCACCACAAATTACACAACAAGAGGAACTGGACGGTCTCACCAACTACACAAGAACAAGCTGTGATGTCTCATTATCAAGGTCCCTGGGTCAGAAAGAAGAAAAAAAGGTTATAATTTTCCTGGTTTAGGAAAAAAGCCATGGAAGTCTTGGAGCTGAGTACTGAGCAGCCTCCATGGGGTCACTGCAAGGGGCCAAGGCAAATGCTGGCCCTGCAAATGCTCGTGGTAAATGGTGCCTTCCAAGGTTTGAGAGGGTCTCCAGCTTTGGGCCTTGTACCAGGTACTTCTGGAGCTGTGAGACAGTGACAGGCTTTGTTCCCTCGTGTATAATTGATAAATTACCATTGTGAGTACTAAACAATACAACTGAGCACAGAATGGAAACACGCTAATGCTTTATCCAGCTCCAGCAATTCTGCTCGTGTGCTCACACTGTTCTTAAATGTGCTAGGTATTTGTTTGATGAAACAATAAGTTTTAGAAAAGAGAAAAATAAGAACTTCAAAGATAATAAAAACCTTGACTACATACTTTACCACAGGAAGCTGTGAATAAGCTTCAGTACTCTTTATTTTTAACATTCCAGATATGTAATTTAGCACAGGTCTAATGACAGTCTCGAACATACTGCTTTAATCGAAATTTTTCAAGCTCTGTTCTGTGACAAGGGCTCACAAGATACCAGCAGGGTTGTCCATTTCCCCACTTCTGTAGGGAAAAGAAAAGGGAAGGGAGGGGGACACTCTTGAACTTATGTTGCTATTGATGTGTAATACACAATAAAAAAACAGTTAAATTTCAATTACCCACAGGTAATTATAATTTTATTGTTTGACTGTACTATGGGGAATTTTGTAATTCCCAAGACTAATAATTTTCTATAATTTTACAGGTTGTCAAATAAACTATTAAAGATTATCTTTGAAAAGGATTCTGCAATTGTAAGAACATATCATACTGTTCCTGTACATTATTAGTAATTAGAGATCCCTGGATAGTGAAATATCCACACTATATGCTAGCTGCTGGATACCATATTTTCTCACAGCCTCCTGTAATCTTGAACCAAAGCTTTCAGACTTCTCAGCCATTGTAGCCTGAGTCATGTCCAAACTTTTATTAATATTCACTGAGCACTCATTAAGCAATTCTGGTGCATTCGATACGTTAAACCTGTGCTTCCTGACAGGGAAAAGCAAAGGCTCCCAGGTCCATCCCAGAGTAGTGGAAACAAACACCAAAGGGCTCATTCTGAACTCTGTCCCCTGAAGAGGATATGGGGAAGAAGCAACATTTATACCAGCTCAGAAGATGTGAATCTGCCCTGACAGTGCCTTTTGACAATGATGTGGCTTGCACAACAAGATGGAGTTGTGCCTGATATTATCCTAAAAATATGCATAGATGTATAGATGCTGGGGATCAGCATCACATGTCCACAAGGAGGGGAATGGCAGGGGCAAGGTCTCCAACCCAAAATAAGCAAATTAATTGGGGGTATTCCCTCATCCTCATCAGAAAATCCCCCAGATTTACTGGGGTGTTGGTGAGGAACTCCCCAGCCCAGTAGATACCAACCTTTGCACAGCTGAGCAGGCAGCAGCAGCTTCTCCCAGGTAATCTGGGAGAAGCCAAAGGCCACTAAAGCAGCATGTGCTGGGTGACAGTGTCCCTTCCCTGTACAGTGCTTGGTGAGATCCTCCCAGCCTTGCAGGGGTGCAGTGCTGAGGAGGAGCAGAGGAGGGATGAGCTGAGAGGAAGAGCAGCCCCTGAAGCGTTGCAGGAGCATCTGGCACAGCTTGCGACGGCAGCGAGCTGGGGTTCAGCAGCTGAGAGATGGCTGAGCTCTCGCCTGCAGAGCCATCAAAGGCACCATTCTTAGCTGGCAGGATTGTTTATTGCAGCTGCCCCAGGAGATCATCATTGCTTGTTTTATCGGCCTTTTGGATGGCTGTGTGGTGAGGGCTCTGTGCAGGGGGAAACTTCACTGCGTTAAGAGCAGCCTCAGGACATGGGGACTTCCAGGCCTCCACCCTTAGGGCTGGGGTTTGTACAGCCCCAGCCTGTGGGGACACCAAGCAGGAGCAGCATCTCAGGGCTCTGGACCCATCTGCAGGGAGGGGTTTGCCCTGTTCCTGGCGCCAAGGAGCCTCTGCAGCAGCTGCAGCGCTCAGCAAGGGGCCTGGTGAGGGATTTCCCTCACTCCAGGGAGCCGAGGGTGGATTGTGTTGGTTTTACTGTGGTGTGGAGCTGGTGGAGCAGTATAAAGATACAGGAGCACAGGGAAGGATTAAGGCCAATGGACTGCAGCTCCCTGCCTTCCTCCAAAGACAGCTTGGAGCCCATCAAAGGTATTAAATCTGAGGAGTCACTGTAGATGCACATGCTGAGCTCTCTTTTCCAAGGCCTGCTTGCCTTGTCCAGAGCTCATCCTGCACCTATGGGAAGGTGTGGGAAGAAGGAACAGCTGATAATTTGGAAAGCTCTTCAATCAGTGGCATTCCCTGCTCCTGACCGGCCTCTCTGCCTACTAACCCAGCTCAATGAGACTGAACCCATTACTCCAGATGATGGGCACTTACAATAAATAGAGGGAAAATCCAAAGCCCATAGAGAAGGCTCAATATGCTTCTGGATAACAGACAGCACCATATGCAAACACAGAGCCTTCTTTCCCCTTAATTCTGCTCTGTGCTTTTCCTGCTTAATACATTCCTTGTTGCAAGGAGAACATGTTCTGACAATTGAAGAGTGAAAGCAATTAGAAACAGAATTAATTGATAAAATTAAAGCCCTGCTTTCCTTATGTTTGTCATATGACTACAAATATTGTCATTCCTATTAATATTAATTAATATAATTATCAATGTTTCTAATCCCTACACATTTTGTTGAAAAGTTACTCTTAGCTCAAGAATATAATTGTTAAGTCGTGGAAATGTTAAGTAGCAGCTAAGCAAGTCCAAAGAATTAATAGCAAACTGTAGTTTATCCAGGGATTAGACTTTTAGCAACACATAATCACCTCTTCATGTGTTCACCCACATAAAATACCTTCTATCCCTGACTACACTTCTGCCTATTTGTCCTTGCAGTGCACAGTTTTCAAGAATTAAAAAAAAAAGACAGTAAGTAAACATTCTGTGCAGTTGCATGCTGTTCTTCAAGGTAAGTCACTGCACCAAGAGTTCTGTGCCCACAGCTGAGAGTAATGTCAAGGTCAATTATCTCAGGCTGAAAGCCCTAATGGAGGATATTTTTGTGATCAGAATAATCTGTGTAACGCTGCAAAGCCTTTGTTTTGGAGTCGAGCAAAGCAATTCCCCTCTCACCCAGCTTCCCCACACATTTTCTCTCAGTTGGAATGTCACAGATTACTAGAATAATCCAAAGGGCTGCCCTGCCACGCTGCTGCCAGCTGAGCAGCTTCTCCTGGCGTGCGCCAGCAGCGTTCGAGGGCACAGGGACTGGAGCAGAGCCTTCCCGGCCGCCTGCCCGCGTCCTCGACAGACACTCAGCAACTCCTGCCTGGCACAGCAAGCAGCAGTGCTAGGTGCAGTATTAATCAGCTCTTTTGGAAAACAGCCAAAGTGCTTTAAAGGCCTTTGTTGTAGGGTAGAGGGGTGTTTCTGCTAGAAGAGAATAATGTAATCATTTTGCTATTAATTTTTAATTGTATGTTGCTCTGCATTATTACCAATCTATACTGATTTTCCTGAGAGCAATGGGGATGCTGTGCAAGTGGTTTCTGTTAGGAACGCTGTTGGGCCACACTGGAAAAGAAGTGACAGAAAAAAGCTGTTCTTCAAAGTTACTGCAGTCACCTGCTGCTGCCTATTCCTACAAGGTATCACATTAAATACTTATAAAATGTATGAACTTAAGAAGATTCATGGAGAACTGCCACAGTTTCCCCTGTCGTCAGGTGTTTTTCTTTGCTTGTTTTTGTAGGGGTTTGTTTCTTTTCTTTTTTTTTTTAATGGCCACCCTTTGTAAGGAAAAGTTACTTCTGAGAAACCTTCTGCAAGCAAATTAAACTCACTGATGTGGATGAAATCAGTAGCAAGAGTAAGACATACATTAATTCTTCTCAGAAGACAATATTTATCAAAAATGCTAAGATGCAGCCCACTGATACAGTTAAACTTTCTGCTAGAAACATGATTGTATCACTCACTTGTGCCCACTCACAAATCCTTCATTTCATCTGAGAGAAAACTGGCCATGAGGGCACAGGAAATCTTTAATCTGCTTTTCTCCATTTCTTCAAATATCTGGCTCTTATCAACCTGCATCGAACATGAGCGACACAGAACCTTCATGTCCTCCACTTCATAAAACAAATGCAAACAAAGCACAGACACGTCTTTAGTGTAAGATGGATTGAGCACAACAAAGTATTGCATAGCAGCAAGGCTGCAAAGAACTCCTGAAAAGGCAGCACTTGCTGCAAATTCAGGAAGAAATCAATTAGACCAAGAAAGACACAAGTTATGTAGAAAAATCTACACTTTGCCACTGACCTAAGTATCAGGAAGACAGTAAAAGGGGCCTGTTCCCCCAGTATTTGAATATTATCCTTTGTAAAGAAAAATCATGGTTTTTTTTCTCTTGAATCCCTAATACTAATTATGTATTTCAATATAATACTATTTGTATTATACCATATCCTATAATGTATAATCTCTATAATAAATCACACTATTATAAATATTTTTATAAATATCTATTAATGTAGTAATAAAATAAACATGTGTAGAGTTAGCTTAAATAGCCATATACTACTATGTGTTAAAAATAATTTTATTTTTTGGCAGATATTCAAGGTTAACTGTAAGTTTTTGGACAGCTGGGAAATTCTGGTAAAAATTTGCAAAGTTTGCACCTAATTCAGTTGAATTAGCTTCAAAATAGAGAAATAGATTATTTGATGAAGAAGAATTAGACAAGTTAAATTTTCAGTTAAAAAGAAAATACACAGACATTTTCTACCTGGCCAGTTCTAAACTGCAGTTTTAGTCCTGGCATAAGCCCATCATCATCAGTGAAAAATGTGCCTTTGTCTTCTCCATATCCAGTGCCGCAGGATCTCCAGGGGTGATTCAGGAAAGCTCTGAGACATTCACAATAAGTCCAGTAACCACTTTCCCAAATAATGATTCTTCCCTGGGCTGGGGCCAAAATAGGTCAAGTAAAGGGAAAACCAAAACTGCAGACTATGAAGCAACCTGCCCATAATTCCCCATCAAATCAGAGATTAAACCTCTTGTACAGTAGCCTCTTCTAGGGGGACTGCATTCATCATTCCAGGAATTAGTTTAAACAAGGCTTATTACTGCAAAACTTAATATACAATATATTATTTTATTTGGATTATTCTGTTGCTTCACAGCTTTGAAAAAACAAAACAAAAACTACTAAATTTGCAGTCACCTTTGGTAACGAGGTTCTGTTCCTCTGCCTATTTGAGATATTTCTTTCCATCTCCTGCACTGAAACTGAATGTTTCAGTTCCTGAGAGCTGTAGATATTTATTCAGTGCCCTTCTATCTTGGCCATCACAGATAGCTCTCTGATAACAAATCACACTCTCTGAGCATCATTTGCTACCAGAAAGGATCCTCAAGAAGCACATGCTCCATGACACAGGATATCCCCTGCTTTGCTGTGAATGCTATAAAGAGCTTCACAAAATCAGCTTCCTTGTATTGAGAGGGTAAGAATGCATCATCTCAGTAGTTTTACCACTTCTTATTGCCTGTTGAGGCTTCATGCTTAGTCCCTGCTCCCTGGCTCTTCAAATGAATGCTGCTACTTAAACACAGAGAACGATATGTGCTTCGTGAGAGATTCAAGGATTTCAGCCATCAATAGAGGTTTAATTATATGCTGGTGGATGCTCAGGTACTATAGCGATGGCTGTTGTATAAATTGCACAAAGCCAGCACAGAAGAGACCACTCACAGCTCATCGTACACTCCGCTCCTGCAATTTATACAAAATAAAATGTAATGCATGGTATTAACTTGCATCTTCTTCTTGACTATGTCATAACCCATCATGTAATGTGATGTTATTCCATGTCGTGTCACAGGTAACATGATGCAACACAATGTCACACTTCAGGAAATATTACTAAGCAAGGGCTGATTCTTGTTAGCAGTTCAGAATGCAAGTCTCTGATCCAAACATATTATGGCTGTGGCTGATGGGAAGGCATCAAACTGAGAGCTACGTTGGGCAAATGTTTTTCTTCTCTGGCTTGGCCAGCAGATGTCCATTTGTCAGGTTTGGGTTCAATTGAGATTTCTTTGTCACGAGCACTTTCTCTTGTAAAAGAAATAGCAATTTTATGGCAAGCCAAATACTGAAAAGAAAAGCCCTTAGAAATACATAATAAATGTATATTAGTGAGACAGAAAATTGGAAAATGGCCACCTGCCAGCAGCCACATAAATTTTGGAGGCAATGCATTTTTATGCCATTATGCATTATCACAGGAATTGCAAATATTTATTAAAAGTATTAAAATGGTGAGAATGTTAAATGTTTCCTTCAGTAGTGGAAATTCGCAGTGCCACATAGAAGACAGGATATTCTGATACAATGTTTATTAAAATTACTTCATTTTATTAGGCTGTCATACACAATAAATGTGCAGGTACAGTTAACAAAAGATCTATTGTGGATATGGGAGATTTGTGAGTAACACTTCAAAAAAATAATCTCTTCTGAACTCTATTCATATAAAAAGCATGCTACAAACTTTCATTAACTTCCTTAGAACCAATTATTTTCTGAGCTTATTTTCTTTTTCTGCCATCCCCCTGTATTTTGTTAGTCGATTTGTTTACTCATATTTTAATGCTTAACAGGATTAAATGCAGTTTATCTTTAATTTATATACAAGTAAGATGAGTGCATATGTGGAGCAGGCAACAAAACATGACGATTATTTTGGGGTTCATTCACAGGTCTAAACATGAATGACTGTAATATACTGGGTCCTCAGTATCTTTTCATCCATAAGCAAAACATTATTAAAAGATCAGTGGGAGCTCCATAATATTGATTGAGAAGAAAATCACATTCTGGTTTTGCCCACATTTTCTGCTGGGATTAATCACAGTGATTTTGTTTCTAAGGTTTTGTTGCAGCAAGATACAGACTCGGGCACACCCTGACGGGGTAACTTTGCTGTTTGGCTTTGCTGGGCTTTGAGCCCCTTCCAGCAGCCCCTGAGCACTGATGGGGACAGTGACATAATCCCTTCATAAACAGGAATCAGCACTGAAAGGAAGGAGGGTGGCTCTTGCCTTCTCAACTAAAAGTGTACTCAGAATAGCTTCTTAAAGTCTTTTTTTAAAATTTAAGAAATGAGCAGAGAAATAAGGAACCAGTACTGAGGTTTTTTTCTTACACAAGTGTTCCTCAATTCTATACAGTCCATTAAGGAAGTGGTGGGATTGGAGTCTATGTTGTAGGCAGGGGGTGAATAGATCAAAGTTACAAGACCTCAGATTTATGGAGAGTCTTATGCAAGGAAAAACCTGCCTGTGGAAGATAAAATTTCAAAAATAAAGGAATTTTCACCTTGCTTTTATATGGTGCAGTTTTATTCCTTTCTGACAAACAGAGAGTGGTGGTGAGGGGTTGCATGAAAAAAAAATGCTTTTTCTGCCTTGATCCAGATATTTTGTATGGATTTGTGGAATACCAGAAGTGGTGCATGGGATTTAACACAAAGGGTCAATGTTGGAGAGAGACCTTGGCCACCTCACAGGCAGAGGCAGAGCCTGTGCTGCCTTTAGAGGGGCAGGTGTGACATCCTCTCACTGCTGCAGAGTCAGAAGCCAGGGCTGGGACTGGCTCTGTCCAAAGCATCTGTGGGATTCAGTCAGTGTAAAACGAGGAGTCAGCACTTCAAGCAATGCAAACCCATTTGCTTGGCCAACCTTATTTAATATGAACGATGTTTTATCTTGATTTAGGTGGCTGTTGTTCTTTAATTAAAGAAATTATGGGAGGTCATTCTCATTAGTTTAGAAGAGTCCTCACAGAAGGGGTTTGCACTGATTTAACCTCAGGGTAAAACTGGCACAACTTTTGCATGTAAATAGGATTTAACACTGGACACTTTGTGCGTATTCCAGCCCTTCACTCATGACATTCAAGGAATACTTGGAATACTGACTGAAATAAGAAGATAATGAAGATAAGCTGGGGTCTTACCGTGAAATTTATCAAATGATCTGCGGTGGCAGCCCGGAGCATCTGCAGCAGCGGGGAGGGGACACCACAGGGCTTTCTGCTGGGGGCAGCGCAGGCGGCTCTGCCTGTCCCCGCACGGTGACACGAAGAGAGCCTGGACTCAAATCCCACCGCTCACGTCTGGCCAGATGGAGCAGGAGCTGAGGCACAGAAACCGGGCAGTGAGAGGGGAGGGCAAGGTGCTTCCCCACTGGCTGAGGAACCGTGCCTGGGGCTGGAGCATGGCACAGGTCCGTGGCAGCAGCGGGACCAGCAGTGCCATGGAAAAGATTTGCCATAAAAGGAAAACACGAAAGAAGGGAAAAAAGCAGCGGCATGAGAAGTGCCAACTGAATGGCGCTGTCTTTAATTGGTACCACCAAGGGCTTTGTGCGGTCAGCATGCTTTTCATGTTTATAATAGAATCCCCAAATTCGACTGATCTGAAGGGCATCTGACTGTTTTACATTAATCACAAGCTATACAGCAGAGGCTGAGAGCAAATGGGCAGATACCCTGGTGGAGTAGCACTAAGGAGCTCTCATTATAGTCATCCTGCCAAATCAAAAGAAAAACCCTAAGGCTCCTAATAAAGGAGACCACTGGACTAAACAAATTGAACAAGTAGCTAGACATGCATAAGCTTGAAACTACTGGTGTCAATCAGATTTTCCTGAGCTGCTCATTCTGCTTGCTTCTCCAGAGCACACACAGAGGGGATGCAGGGACAAGGTGACACATGGGTGCCAGCACAGCTCAGTGCTGGGCAGGCAGGTACAGGGGCACTTTGTGAAGCCACCTGCAAGGAGTCATTACAGAATACTTTTCAAATTGATCCAACACTAAGGAAAGGGGCGGTGGCACTAAGCACATCCAGCACTAAGGATGAGGGAATGGTGACCTCATCCACATAAGACATCTGAGCACACTTCCAAGTCTCACTATTTCCATCGGTTCCAGGTCAGGAGAGATCCAAGAAAGGTCTTGGAACCCACAATTGTGTGTGCCTCCAGGACAGGAAAAAGGTTCCGCACCCTGGAAGCTCTGCCCACTTCTCACATTCCTGCACCTCATGAATGAAAGTCATTATATTAGTTATATTGCCTACTGGAAAGCAAAAAAAAAAAAAAAAAAAAAAAAAAAAAAAAAAAAAAAGTGAAAAGGTGGGTCACCACTCTCTGAAAAAATGCAGTTGGCACTAGTGAAAACCTGAAGAAATGGGAGAATAAGAAAATTCTAAATTTAGCAGCATTGGGTTTCGTTTGGTGTTTTTTAAGACAAATGATGCATAGGTTCCATTAGCTACCACTCCTTCTCAAAAGCCATCAGGTAGGAAAGCAAGATTTTGAGGTACTCCCTCAAAACTCAAAGAAAAAAATAAATCTGTGCATAAGAGTAAATACCCAGGGAAGAAGAAGAAACAAAAAATATTAGGGTCAGTATTTAGTACAGCAATCAGGGGGAAAGGGAAAAACAGAAAATTTCAATAGGAACAGATGGACAAAGGATGATACACCTGAGGAATCAGGTGAAGGCATCAAAGGAGAGGTTTTATGGAGAGAAATTCACTTTGAAGAACTGATGGCTAAAACACTGTCAGCTTCTGAAGTATTGGGAAATTTTCCCTATCTGCACCATGACTATTGTCACTGGCTCTGTCCCCTGACACCATCTGAGTGGTGGCAGCTTTGCATGGGCCCTGCAGAGACCAGGGGGGAAGCAGAACTGGGGCTCCTCTTGCTGGTAATGTTTTGAGATATTATTATTATTGATAAATGTATTCACCTTTTCCTGTTTTTTTTTCCCCTATTCCTTCTTTTTTTTTTTTTTTTTTTTTTTTTTTTTTTTTTTTTTTTTTTTTTTCTCCCAGCTCCACACTGTAATAAATCAACATATAAATGTACTGGTTTATTTCCACCTGGAATGTTGGAAGACAAATAGTACAAAAGATCCGTTTGGTCATTTACCATATTGGTTTAGCATGGTAATACTGTTGGGGTTTTTTCATTTCTCATTTCAAGACTGTAAACAAATGCACAAGAACAGATCAAATACTCCCTACCTAAGACAGTGACTTGTGCAATGGAAACATCAAACCTGGTTTTTGAAGGCCAAACTGTGCCTCCTTTACTTTTTCATAGGGAAAACTCAGAATTTGGAATTAGCCTGAAATTTGAAACTACATTTTTGCCAAGCAGAAAAAGCAGATGCACCCTTAGCCACGCTAAATCACAAACACATACACACATGGAGATGAGGAAAATGCACATTAAATATGAAAAAGTATTCCTTTCAGGCAGAAGATAAACAACCCTACTACAAATTAGCTCTCGGCCCCGTCAGGTGTGAATCTCTCTTGTCAATACGTACCAAATTCCCTGAGATAGAACCACATGGTCATGAATTTTATTCCTCTCCTGCTTAATTCCTAGTACCACTCTCCCTTGTGGATTTACTCAGGGATGATTTACAGTGGGAAAGGTGACATTAAACACGTCATTGAGCATGCAAAGATGCTGCACTCAAAGCAGCATATGCTTGACTTTGTTAAAAGATGAATGCTGTCAACTCCACAGTGCCCACCAAGATCTGGCCTCCTTTTTCTTCCCAACAAACTTTGAGGAAGATGCAGACATGAGTCTTGACACTGAGAGAAATAAAAGTTAATGTATTCATGACATGATTTCACTTGCAGCCTGATTTAGCAATGTCTTGTCTAGTTTGGATCTGCTGTTGCTTTTCCTAATTTACTCATTGCACAAAGAAAATAAATAAATAAGTGCACTATGGTCTTATTTATCCTTCTTTGGACATTTCTTTACCAGGCAGATGGTCAATTAAGAGCACTAAACAATGACACTGTTTTCTCTGTAAACATTTTTTTTCTAATAGCCTAACAAATGAGAATCTGTGCTGCCATACTGCTGAATACCATCTTGACTTTCTAATTACAAAGAACTGTGTCTTGATAGTAACAATTACAGCTGTAACAATGATGCTGGTACTTGAACAATATAGTTGGAGGCAAAGTGCTTATTGGAATATTCACAAATAAAGGCTTACATTTATGCCAGCGCTGGAGATGGGAGGTTAAACAGTTGGGGGTGGGGAGGTGTAGAAGAAAGGTTGAAAACATTGGTTTAGTAGCTACAGATGTGAATTTGAATCCAATTACATGAAAAGCAAGGGGGGGCTGAAGCATGGAAAGATGCTGTTTCCTTCTGTTTGCCTAATCAATAGGTTAAAGGGTTAGTAAAATTAACATGTTAATAACATTCATTTTGCTATTTATGAACCGGTCATAGTATTTGCAGAGAACTATGTCTTGTGAGTAATCCATGTGTAATTATGCCTGTTTTTTCCCTTTTTCATCTGAAAGGATGAAATGGTCAGTATATTTTCTCCCCCAGTGTGATAGAAATTAGCTTCTCAAGTCTCTAGTTTACACTACTTTTCTAATTTAACTTATTAAACCAGCCCATCCAAGTTTTGGGTGGGTTTTTTCCTTTTTTGAATGCAAAGCTCCCCCAACCCCAAGAAAAGGGGAAACACAGTCTCTAAGCTCAGCACGGATTAGTAGCACCGATGTCCCAGGGGAGCAGGCTGGCAACCAGGGTGTCACAGTAGCATCCCAGATGGAATGGGTTCCTTGGAGGAAGCTCATCCTCCTGCTGATCCTCCATCATCCCTGGTGCACCAGGACCCCCAGCCCTTGGCACTGCTCCGTGCCCACAGGCAGGGTGGCTTTTGCCTCCTGCACTCCCTCCCTCGCTCGTGTTCCTGCTGCACTCCAACCACTCTCCGAGCTGTAATTTAGCCCACACTTATTAATCAGTGCATATAATTTGTCTCTAATGCTGTCAATTTAAGATGGCAACCTGACTTTTTTTTGGAGGGGGCAGGGTCAACAATTTAATGAATCTCGTCTGCATTTTAATTCAGACCTAATAATCTGCCTGTGGCAGTTTTCTTAGAAAAGCAAAAGGTTTTCCAGGATTTTCTTTCATCAAATCCAGCACAATGGGATGTTTACCTTCCTGCCTTGGATGTGCTCAGCCCAGGGTAAATCACACACAGACCTACCTTAATCAAACTGTCCTAAATCTTCTGATTTGTCCTTTGAAGGGTTTTCCTGGGGAGGAAGGACAAATTTGGGGCAGTGCAGTCCCTTTTCTGCACAAATTGATGCACAATTGTAGGCACAAAACCTCAGACCTCCATGACTCACTGCCCCTAATGGAGTAACTTCACAAATGGTCAGAGCATCCAAGGCACAGCTCCAGAAGAGCCTTCTTTAGCTATCCCTATGCTTTTATTTTTGTCCTTCCTACAGTAAAGTCCCACAGGAGGGAA